ATAGGATAATTTCAAATATTATTTTGTTATTTTTTATGAAACATTGCCTGTTTGATTAATTTTTAAAAATGTATTCAGTGACAATAGCATAGAAATATTTCTGCTTTTATATTTTAATTTAGTTAACATGGAGCCAGGCATGCATGGTGCCAGGCATGGCTAATTCAACACTATGTTTAAAAACTACATCCTTAAATAAATATCTTTGAAATAGAAGTTCTGTGATAAAATTTCAAGAAAATTAAGTGATTGCTGTGTTGGGCCATGATTTTAATTTCTGCAAAATATTAATGCTAAGAAAAAATATTTTAAATCATTAAGACAAAAATGTCCTATGATACAGAAGTAAACATTCATGCTGTTTACTTCCTATTTTATGTGAAAATATGTGTATGTTAAAATGTATTTTATATTATGTTTCTCCTTTGTGAAAATTAGTCTTGGATTAGGCAAGGACTTTCAGAATTTAGCTTTCCTGAAGCTTCCTTTAAGTCCAGGCCCCAAAATAAGACCAGTTGCTTATTTGTTTGGATTCTTAGAATACTCTGAAACACATTTCTCTATGTCAAATTTAAAGAAGCTGTCCTTCCTCTTTAAAAAAACAACAACACACATTTATTTTTTTAGTTATAGGTGGACACAATATCTTTATTTTATGTGGTGCTGAGGATCGAACCCAGTGCCTCACACATGCCAGTCAAGCCCTCTACCTCTGAGCCACAACCCCAGCCCCTGTACTTCCTCTTAAGCTTTGACATTGACATCTTGTTTCTGAAAGACCTAGTTGTTGGAGAATAAATTCCCCAGTGTCTAACATTTTCAATGCTTTGGCAAAGTAGTTTTGTAGAGGAAAGAATGAGCTCTTCACACTAATTGTTAACTTTAGACAGCCAGTTTCTCAACTCTGGTGCTTGTTAGATATTTCTCTTCTCTGTTTCAATTCCCAGAGAAAATTAATCAGTTATGTGTACAGTGCTGGATGTACAGATTACTGTAATGTGAACTAAGGTACAGGACTTGTTTAATTTTATCTTTTGTAAGAGCATGTTAAAGATATTGAAATGCCAGAATTGCAGTCATCTTGTCATATTGTCATTTGTAGATAATCTGAAATAGAACATTTCTCTATGGAATAATATTTTCCAAGGACCTACTTAAATCGAAGAAATATTCCTAAATAAATCAATTGAGCATTATGTTGTAATTCATATATGCCAACAGTTGTGAGTTTAAGGAAAACATTAATTTACTTAAAATTAGCATTTTTGTTTATCTCTTTTTTTAACTAGATAGGACATGTCTGTTTTTCTGTGCAGGTTGTAAAAAATGATGTAGACAATATCATACATGTAACATTATACAGTTTACTTTTCTATATTTTGGATACAAATCCTTTATATATGATTTATAAATTTTTTCCCATTCTATACATTGTCTTTTTATAAAGAATCTGTTACTGAACTCAAAGTCAAGAAGATTTATCCCTGTTTTCCTCTAAGGATTTTATAATTTTATTCTTAAAATTAGGTTTTTATCCATTTTGAGCTGATTTTTATAGGTAATGTGACATGGGTCCAACTTCATTCTTTTGCATGTGGCTGTTCTATAAACCAAACACCATTTGTGCAAAAGATTTTCTCTACTGTATGATCTTAGCACACCATAGATGGATGGATTTATTTCTTGACTCTCAATCATATTTCATTGACCTTTCTATTGTTTCTCCAGTACCACACTATCTTGTTTGCTGTTGCTTTGTAGTAAGTTTTGAAATCTGTAAGTTCTCCTACTTTACTTTTTCCCCCAGATCATTTGGATTGTTCTGGGTCTCTTGTAATTCCATATAAATCAGCTTGTCATTTATACCCAAATTCAACTGGTATTCTGATAGGGAAAGCATTGAGTCTGAACAGTTAGGAGAGTATTGCCAAGTTTTCCAATTCTTGAACAGAAAATGTTTTTGCATTTATTTAGGTCTTTTTAAGTTTCTTTCAAAAACATAACTTTTAGAGCATACCTTTTGGACTTCTTTTGTTAACTTATTTCTAACCATTTCATTCTTTTTGATGCTTGTGAGTGGAATTGTTAATTTCATTTTCTTTGTTACTGGTATTATAGAAGCACAATGGATTTTTGCATGCTAATTTTCTATCCTGATAATTTACTGAATTCATTTATTAATTCTAATAGTTTGTGTGTGTCTATGAGTGGAATGTTATAGGAGTTTTTAACTTACCAAGATGATGCCATCTCTGTTAAGATAATTTTACATCTTTCCAATCTGAACACTTTTTCCCCCTCTTTTTCCTGTCTAATTGATCTGACTAGAACTTCTAACACTGTTAAATAGAAGTGCTGGCAGCAGCATCCTATCTTGTTCCTCATCTTAAAGGAAAATCTCTTGATCATATGTAGATTTTATTGTGTTTGTATGGTTTTCTTCCATTCCTATTTTGTTGAGTATTTTTAATTATAATAATGTTGAACTTTATCAAATATATTTCTGTATCAATTGATACGATTTCTTTTTCCTTTATTCTACTAATGTGTTATATTATATTGATCAATTTTCACGTGTTGAAACATATTGCATTTCAGGAATAAATCTCACTTGGTCATGGTATATAGTCAGTCCTTTTAATCGGGTGAATTCACTTTGTTAGTAATTTGTTGAGGGTTTTTATATACATATTTATAAGAGATATTGGTCTGTAATTTTCTTGTTATGTTTTTAGTTTTAGTACTGGCCTCATAAAATAATTTGGGAAGTGCTTCTTCCTCTTTAGTTTTTTGAAAGAGCTGATGAATATTTTTTTTTTATGTTCAGTAGAATTCAATGATGAAGTTATGTGGGCCTGGGCTTTTCTCTGAGGGCAGACTTTTAATTATTTATTGATTCAGTCTCCTCCATTGTTATATGTCTCTTCAGGTCTGTTTCACCTAAGTTAGTTTTGTTCCAGGATATAGCCTTTATAGTCAATATGTATATATATTTCAGTATAGTTTTAATTTGCATTTCCATAATGTGGAACATTTTTCAGATGTTTGTGAAAAGGCATGGTACATAGCTTTTTTGAAGTGCCTTTTTAAACATTTTCCCATTTTAAAAATAAGTTATTTGGCTTTCTTTTTAAGTTGTGAGTTTTTTTATATATTATGGATCAGAGAACTTTATCAGTAGTTTATATATGTAGTTTATAGCTTTAGTATATCAATTCTGATCAGTTTATATATGTAGTTTATAGCTTTATTATCTATCAATTCTGATCAGTTTTAAAGTAATTTTATATATATAGTATGAGATAAGAGTTGAGGTTTATTTTTTTGTATACTCATTTTTGTTGAAAAGACTATTCTTTCTCATTGAAACAACTTGATCACTTGGTCAAAAAACAAACATCTGTAAATGTGGCTCTATTCCTTATATGTCTGCTTTTAAGACATGCATATGTTTTTTATTTGTGTCTTCCTACTATATTGACCTTGTTCTCAATAGGCAATGTTTCTTTTTTTTTTGCTCTTAGTAATTCTTCTCTTTAAAAAAAGCTTATTCTTTTCATTATTAATATAGTTTGTCCATATTTTTTAACTTTACTTTCTATATGTTATAAATTTTCCCAGCTTTTTGTTTGCTTGTTACAAATTATTAATGTTTTTATCTTTAAAATCCCTTACCTGTAAAGAAAATATAGTTTGGTGCTTGCTGTTTTTCCAATTGAACAATCTCTTCACAATTTTTTTATGAAATAATGAGATATTTATTAGGGAAGGTAGATTAAAGGGTATATATTAATTAAAAATTACAGGGAAAAATACCAATTAGAAACATTAACAATTTACAAATAATATTAATTAAAGGGAGAGGGAATCACATTTTACTTTGTCTCCACAATTTTATTGGAGTTTTAGTTCATTTTTGTTTAATGTAATTATTGATATATTTTGTCTCTATTTCATTTTTCTGTTCTTTTATGTTTTTAATAATAAACAATTTTGTAGTATTATTCTCTATTAGCTTTGTTTTATTTCAATGCATTATTTTTTTGTTATTAGATTCATAGTGGAACCATAGTATGCAATTTTTACTTCCAATAAAATATAGGAAACTTGTAATAGTATACTTTCATTTACCCACTCTCTCTTTCCTTGCTTTTGTTATATAGTATATGTTTATATGCATAATATAAACCGAAGAGTAAAATGTTATAAACTAGCTTAAAGAGTCTTATGCCTTTTAGGAAATCAAGAGAAGAATACATATTCACTTGCATATATTACCTATTTTTTTTATTCCTTTCTAATAGCCTAGAAAGTGCATGACATCTTATATTTCAGCCTGAAGAATTTTCTTTAGCATTTTGTGAATACAAAGTAGTTAGCAAGGAATTGTTTCACTTTGTGTTTACTTAAAAATGTCCTTTCAGTCTTTATTTTTGAAGAAAAAATTTAGTGGACATAACTTCTTAGAAAATATTTTTTATTCTCAACACTTTGAGTAGTATTCCACTTTGAATATTATTCCAGTATTATATCTCCACTATGCTATTATTCACAATTTTGTTCTTTATTTAATGTGTTGTTTTCTTTGCTCTTCTCATGAATTTTGTTGTTGTTTACTTGTGGTGGTTTGATTATGATATACCTAGGTGCAATCTTCTTTGTTTATTTTATTTGTGGTTCCCTGAGTTTCTTATAGCTGTGATTTAACATTTTTCAGCAAAGTTGGAAAGTTATGAATTTTTATCTACTCATTCTCTTTTTCTGTTCCTTGTTTGATTCTAGTTCTCCTTATGAATCATGAAAGACATTTGTGATACATAGTTTTAAACTTTGGAAGAATGGAAATAAGGGAGGGAAGGGAAGTATGAATGAAATTCCACAATCTCTAAGAAAATTTAGTTCCTTAAATATGCATACACTATATACAATTCAGTACATTTACAGTGGAAATATTAATGTTACATTTCCTCTTTTTCTGTTTTTACAAAATCTATGCCTAGGTGCATTTCCTCCCTCTGCTATTTATGCACGAAAAGACTTGCTACAAAGATCTACCCATATTGCTACCAAGACTTTCCAAGCTCTTAGAATATTCGTAAATAATGAGCTCAACGAACTCCACATGGGACTGAAGACAGCTCAGAAGTTTCTGAAACCTGGTGGTCGCCTTGTTGCCCTTTCCTTTCATTCATTAGAGGATCGAATTGTCAAAAGGTTTTTGCTTGGGATAAGCATGACAGAAAAGTTTAACTTAAGTGTTAGACAGAAGGTAATACAAACATCCCAGTTGAGTTCATATCATGCAAATAAGGAAGGAAGCTCTATAAGAGCTCCTTTAATGTGGGAATTGATACATAAGAAAGTGCTTACTCCAGAAGATTGGGATGTACAAAATAACCCCAGAGGTCGCTCAGCCAAGCTTAGAGCAGCTATGAAATTATGAGATCTGATTTTCAATTTTTCCCTCAGTTTCTTTAATTTATTTGTCTATGTGATGAATAGGTTAATACCTCCAGCTTAAAGCATAGGACAGCCTTGAAATTTATTTAAAATTATTTTCTTCTCAAAAAAAACTGTAGGAAGTTTTAACGTAACATACAAAGCTCAACTCAGAGCAGCAGCATCTCGGGGCTGGAAAAAATGTGTTTATCTTGCATTATATTTGACTTCTGAAATTCAATTCTTTCTCTGAGCAGGAAATTTTTTTAAAAAACATTATGTTTATCTAAATATGTAAACTCCAACTGTAAAAGACAAAGAGATTATAATCTCTCTGCATGCCCTAAATTCTGAATTTAGATATTAAAATTTATAACAGACTTTCTGTGGCTCAAATAATTAATGATAATATGGAATGAATTTTAATTTCCATATTGGTAAATAATTAATTACTGTAGCTTTCTAAAAGTAGCCTTTTTACAAGTTTTAATTTTCAAATATTATTTTAATATGGCATTATACTGACGGATTTCACTATTGAAATTTATAGTTCATTGCTTTAAAAGGATTTTTTCAGAGTGATATGTGCTAATTTTCATAAATTCCAAAATAAAAGTGTAGAATTTCCCTAACTGCTATGACAGAGAAGTGTTTCACAGAATTTATATTCGATATCAATTATATCTATTTTAATAACTCAGAATTACTATTAGTAAATAATACAAACTTGTTTGAATTCTGCATTTTTATTGAACTATTAAAAAAATTCAGTAGAGCTATTTGAAGTAAGAAACTGTCTGATTTATTCAATATATTAAAATTAATGCTCCCTTAATGTTTCTACCTAGACATAGAAACTATAATAAGGATAAAAAGTTTTTTCAGGAAAATTGCACTTGGTGGAGTATTCTATAACAAATTGATAAGATTGATTCATAATTCACATGTCATTTTTTATTAGTAAATATGCACTTTAATTTATTCAGTTATTCAGCAAGTACTGAACTTGACATTAGAAAAACAAAGGTAAGTATAATACCCATGATCCATAGTACCTGTTCTGTGAAGCTTGTTGTCTAGTGGACAAGAATGATGTTAGTTAAATAATCACAAAAGTCAATATGAAATGGACACAGTGATAAATGTTACACAGAAGCATACAAGAATGATGTTAGTTAAATAATCACAAAAGTCAATATGAAATGGACACAGTGATAAATGTCACACAGAAGCATACAATATAATTTAAAAGTATCTGGTAGAGATTTGACCTGTTGGAGGAAACCAGGTCTGAGAATGTGATTGATTGTGACCTGAAAGATGAACAGGAGATAATTAATCAAAGGGTGTATGGAGTGGGGTGGGAGGATGGTGTTTAAAGGTACGTATAAATGAGTATTCTCTTAAGTAATTCTTGAAATCATTAATTTTCTCAGTAAACTATTTCTTCAAATACAGAAAGCATTCATACTTTCCAGTATGATTACAAATACTTAATAGAAAAATCCAAGTGAATGAAATATCAACATGACTATATTTACCTCAGACTCATTTTATTTACCTATGTAATATTTAACTTTACTCCCCAAACTTGTTCACTGCTTTTATTTTATAGGCTTTATTTAAATCTAAACAATCCTGCAATGAAATCAGGATTAGAAAAATATCTGGGGAATGTGCTCAAAATATAAACAAGAGAATGCACTTAGGTTAATTCCCTGAATCCTACCTGAAGAATTTTATGTTTCTCTTCATGTGTAAAATATATTTGTAAATGAAAAAGATTGACAATAGTAACTTCCCATATGAGTATCTGATTAGAAAATAAAAGACTAAACTCTTATATTAAAAAATGATTCACCTATTTCATTAATCATTTTTACATCCTGTATAATATGGAGAATTTTTTCATTGATATCAAGTTAAAACTGATTGCACTGGATTGGATAGTGTTGTCCTAATATTCATCTGCTTCCTTATTTGGAAATACCATCATTTCAGATATGAGTAGTTAAGATGATGTCATACTGGAGCAGGGATGGCCTTTAATCCAATGTGACTTATGTCCTTATAAGAAGAGCAGAGACACAAGTGAAAGTGACCTGAAGGTGGAAGCAGAAATTGGAGTAATAAGTCTATAAGCTAAGGTATACTCAGTATTGTTGGCAACCACTAGAAGATAAGAGAAAAGCAAGAAACAAATTCTCCCTCAGACTCTCCAGCAAGAACCTACCCTGCAGACATCTTGGTTTTGGGGCTTCTAGCCTCTAAAACAGTTAAAAAATACATTTCTACTGTTTTAAGCTACCCAGTTTCTGGTAATATGTTACAGCAAAACCTAAGAAACTAATACTCTGACAGATCAAAATCTTGAGTAATATGATGAGAAAAATACTTCTCCAATACACACCAAATCGGTTTCAAAATATTTTAGTGCAAAATATATTAAATGTTTTGTTATTAGGCTTTGTTGTAAAATGCATAATAAAATATGTGAATGAGTTTTAATTATGGAGGATGGCTTTGGGAAATTCAAACAATACACAGAGAAAATAAAAATTGATTATTAGGATGAATATGCAACACTTTTCTAATAAAATATTTCTGAATCTCTATATTGACTGCTTTGTATGAATCATTTTAACTTAGCATTGATATCATGTAGTATATCCCTTATTTTTTGTTCATCATTTAAAACATGAAATTTAATAGCTAATTTTATCTCTACTTATTCACTTTGTTTTAAAATTTGCATATTAGTGACATTCTCTCCAAAGTCTCTAGGATTTTTTTGAAAGGTATTAATCATATCTGTATGTCTTATCTGATATTTCATGTAATATATGTATAGTTTTGCTTACATTCATTTGTATTGAAGTATTTCTTATAACTACTAGTGTATAAGAGAATACCAGTATGCCAACTGTTTTTGAAATTAATCTATTAAAATTCACTTTCAAATATTTGAAAATCATAACTTCTTTAATCTTTATAGAATATTTTATATTCTATATATATTTTAAATTTCATTATATAGTATTTCTATAGTTTAAAAAAATTCTAATTTTTATTTTTATTTATTTATTCATTTATTTAGATAGAGATTGACCTGGGGTGTATAATCACTGAGCCACATTCCCAGCCCTTTTTTAAATTTTGAGTCAGGGTCTTGCTCAGTTGCTTAGAGCCTCACTTAGTTGCTGAGGCTGCCTTTGAACTTTCGATCCTTCTGCCTTAGCCTCCCAACCAGGTTACAGGCATGCGCCACTACACCTGGCTAATTCTTGTTTTAAAATTAGAAGTGTTTATGATTCCATTTTTCAGACTTTTAAAGACAATTTTAATTTTATTTGAGATCTCTCATCCAAAAAGTATGAGACAATTCTTAATGGAATGTAATTCTTAACCATACACACATGCACATACATGCTCACACACACACATTTATATTCATTCAGTAAGCATATAGGAAAGAATAACTGTTTAAGGAGAATTTTTTAAAACTATACCTCTTGCCTAGTCTTCCCATGCTCCCCCTCCCTACCCCACTATGAATCAGCCTCCTTATATCAGAGAAAACATTCGGCATTTGGTTTTTTGGAATTGGTATCTTCACTTAGCATTATCTTCTCTAACTGAATAGATGAACTCTAGATAGGGCAGAGGGGTGGGAAGAGAAGGGGGGGCTTGGGTTTAGAAATGATGGTGGAATGTGATGGACATTATTATCCAAAGTACATGTATGAAAACACAAATTAGTGTGAATGTACTGTGTATACAACCAGAAATATGGAAAATTATGCTCTATATGTGTAATAAGAATTGTAATGCATCCCACTGTAGTATATAAATTTAAAAAATTAATTTTTAAAAAGGCAGCAACCTGAGGAAGCACTGATGTTGAAATTTCAAATTTAACAAGGATTTTAAGCCTGATAACAATTCTTCCATTTTCTCTCAAGAGCTTCACTAGATTTTTAAATAGCATTCTTTTCAAAATTCAAGCAGCACTGTATGATGTCAAAATACAGTGTGAAAAAGAGAAAATATGGAAAAGGTTATGACCAATTTGGCTATTGCTTTATTTGGTAGAATATCTATGTTGAGGTATTTGTGATGCTTGCAAACAATAGCCTGAATCTTTTTGCATATTGTTTGGAAACAAAAATTGTAAAAGTTGAGTTTGATGCATAAATGTTAAGAATTCTAAACATGAGGTCATGAAACCAGTTTTGTCAATTTTGATGCTATAAAATATAGTTAAACTATTTCTGCATTTTAATAAACATTCAGAACAAAAACTCAAAAGAAATCTAAAAATTTTAAAAAATAAAAATATACCTCTCTCTTCTTTTTATATTCCTTCTCCTCCTTACCTTTCTGTATTCACATTACTTGTGAGTTTCTTGTGCCAATTGAGATGATATTAGTTTACATTTCAACTTTACTTTGGAAAAAGAAATATTAGTAAAATTGGCATATTCTCTGGCAAACTAAGCCCTACATGTTATAATCTTTGTAATGGATAAAAATTCACTAAGAATTGCTTCTGGTTAAAATTCTGTAAATTTTGGCCTGCCATGGTGGTGCATGCCTATAATCCCAGCAGTTTGGGAGGCAAAAGGACTGCAAGTTCAAAGCCAGTATCAGCAATTTAGTGATGCCCTAAGCAACTCAACAAGATCGGTTTCTAAATAAAATATAAAAAATGCGAGGAATATGGCTCAGTGGTTGAGTGCCCCTGGGTTCAGTCCTTGGTACAAGAGAGAAAGGAAAAATTCTGAATTTCCTTTAATGTAGTTATTTTTCTATTCAGTTTTTATAGTTGCTACTACTTTCTAATAGATATTTTTGTATAGCAGCATTCTATTAGAAAGGGATAAGCATTAAAATATAAAGGAAATTTTGTGCAAAGCTTGAAAAATATAAATTTAGTGACAGAAAATCTGATATATTTTTCTCAGAACCACATACCATATGTTTGATGTCAAATGGAGCATGGTTTATAAAAATCAGCACCATATTCTAAAGAGGCTGGGTTGTATAACAAGCATAACTATTTTTATATTATTTTCTCAAATTTCATCTGCTAATAGCTACTATTTCCAGCTAATGTTTGGTAACATACAGGATGATCTGCAGGAATGCTAACAGAACATTTAAGTATAAATTATTTTTTAAAAGTATAGTTGCAGCATTCATTTTCAGAAACATTAAAAATTCAATAGAATTAATTCTGCAAGATACAATGGTCATAGCTTATGATACCTATCATAAAATTCATCACTTTTTGGCTACCTCACTTTCTTCTCTAACTATACACCCAGATTATTAGATTAAATAAATAAATAAAATAATATAATATAATATAATGCTCTGGTATGCAAAGTAGTAGATTGCCTCTTTGGTAACACTGCATCTCCTTAAGCAATGTTTTGCCTTAATATCTGAACTGTTGTTTACCATTAGCAGTTGTCCTGTTATATCATTGCTCAAATAGTTGTATACAAAGCTGCAGTCAATCAAGAGGACATGAGTTATTTCAATAATTGTTTCTATTCCTTACATTCCATCTTATGCTTTGGTCAGTAATACTTTTCTGCCTTACATAGGTAAGTCGTGTTGCCAGACAAATAATATCAGTCCTAACTCTTTCACAAGGAAAAAATAATCACAAGGTGCTCAATTCAGGAGCATTATAAATAACACTATTGGCTATTGAGTCAGAAAAACATAAGTTTGAATTCTAACTCGGCATGCATTTTTAGCAAAATATATGAATTTGAGCATGCTATTTATCTTGAACTATCATTTATTTATTTATTTCATTTATTGAAAACAAGGAAAGTATGGTCCTTTTTAGTGAAGTTACTATGAATTAAATATAAAATAATAAATATGCATGAAGTGAAAATTATAAGGATAAAAATGGCATGTAAAATATTTAGCACTATTCGAGACACATATTAATTACTCAGTGATGCTATTATTTTGCTGAACACTGTGATTAAGGATGCGTATTCTTCATTTTGGTAGTTTTAAGTACATCTCTAATAGCAACTGATTTATAGTTAGTTTTATTATTTAGAATTTTACTCCTAATATTTATTTACCACCCTCATTTGTTTGTTGTATCTTGACAGGGTATATAAAACACAAGTCATTGCTCTTGTGGAATTTCCATGTATAAGAAAACAAGATGATATCTTTTTTAAAAAATTTAAGTTATTTGACATTCATTTAGGTTGGAGAAACTATTTATCTTTCTATGATTCTTTATCAGTAAGTAGCAAGTCTATATAGTTGTTGTAGTACAATTCTCCAACAAAATACATTTTTAGAAGAGAAAGGAAATAAATAATTTTCAAAATATTAAAGACAAGATGATTATAGAAGTATGAAAAATCTACTTCTCTAAAACCAATGATAATAGGCTTAAGGACTAAAATGTACATGTTACAAGTCTTAAAGGGAAAACAACTGGTGAAAGATGAAGAAACTAAGTATACTTCAAGTGAGCTGATAATCTTTCCTTTAAAGACTATAGGAATAGATATTATCAGAACTGGATCCTTATAATTTCACCCCTCACCTTCATCTCAGCATTTATAAATCTCTTCCTTGGTCCCTAATTTATATTCCTATTTCAGAAGAAAGTTTATGTCCTTGCTTTTTCTCCCTACCCTATCTTCTCCAGGACAGTTTGATCCATTTTGTTTGCCTCTCTATTCTTCAATCCTTTTTCTGCTGGTGTTTTTCCTTCACCTACAAACATACTTAAAAGGGCTCTATTCTAAATACAAACAATAGCAACTAAATATCTACTTGTCTGGTTTGCTTACCAAAATATCAACCATTTTCTGTTTTCTTGCATATTTGATTTCTTCAGAGAGCCTACACTACTTCATCATCTATGTTTAGTTTATTCAATTCTTATGTATTCTCTATAGAAACTGTTCTCTTAAGAATCAGTGTTGGCCTCTTGTTCCAGACTCAAAAGACTAATCACCATCGTGAGCTATTTGTTCTCTATAGTATTTGAGAGTGTTCATCTATTTCCCCATAAAAATTTTATTTCCATTTCATTCTCCAAAATCACTCCTTTTGGGGGTCTTTCTCCCTAACACTGTCATATGTTCACTGGCTTCTCTTCCTCTTTCTGTTCCATTAAGGCAGACTGTAGTGAATTCTTTAGAGAGTGTTAAGTAGTTCTAGGATGTTTTTCAGTAGAAGTAATATTGTAAAATCACTAAATAATCATCATGGAGTTGGATGAGAGATGAGTTTCTTATCAAGATAATAGAGTGGGACTGGGGTTGCAGTTCAGTGTCATCATGTTTGCCTACCACCTGTGAGGCACTGGGTTCGATCCTTAGCATCACATAAAAATAAAGTAAAGGCATTCTGTCCATCTACAACTACTAAAACAAATTTTTAAAAAAGATAACAGAGTGGAACAGAGATTGGAGTTTCCTGGAATAGGAAAACATCATTATTTTGTAGATATTAAAATAAGAAAAAGGAGTTCAAGTTGAAATCAAATTAAGTATTTTTACTGGTATGTCAGCCTTAGTAATGACATATAATTTGAATCAACTATCCCACAAAGAACAGC